CATTCCTGAGTGATGCACCGAGGGCTTCTGAGGGGCTGTAGGTCATTAGAGCAAAGGCAGAGCACAAGGGCTTTAACAGAACCATAAACGCCCATTAAAAGGCGCTTTTTAGGGGGTCGGAGGCTGTCCAAGAAGTGGCATTTAAAGTCACTTACGTCCCTCGTGGCACGTGGGAATTTCAGGTGTCCCAGTGAAATCCCTCAGGCTGCTGCCCTCTCACCTGTGATCGATGTTAGTCTGGCCCGGCTGCCCTGGTGGGTGCAGGTGCCGTTGTGCTAGAAGCTGCACAAATGCCTGAATTACTGAGGAGTTGCCAGAGGTGATGGGAGCCGTGGTGGTGGGGACCGTGCTGGAAGCACGTTGGCGAGTGGCACAGCATTGGAACTGGGCAGTAGGAGCCCAGCTGAGGCTCTTCAGGCCTGTCCACCCAGCGCAGTGGCCTCCCTCGTGCTGTGGTTCTGATCCCTGTCTCAGCCAGCGACGCCTGGGGAAGTTAGAAGGGGCTGCAGCAGGACCCTCACGTGACGCCAGCCCAGCAGGGAAGGGTGTGGGCTGATGGCTGGGTGCAGCTGTCCTGTGCTGTGAGCCTCACCCCCGGGCCATTGTGATTGCAGCAAGCGGATGGCCGAGAGCGAGCTGACCAAATCCATGAACGAGCTCTTTGCCAAGCTGCGGGACGACCTGAAGGAGGCCATGAACACCATGATGTGCAACAAATGCCAGGGGAAGCACAAGTAGGTGCTGACGTGCAGCAGCCGCTTTAACCCCTTGCTTCTGGCTCTGGTGCCCTGCTCCTCTGGGACACTGAGCACTACCCCTCCACGGAGCCTGGAGCTCAGGCGCAGGCCTGGCCCTCTGTGATTGCTGGAATGGACCAGGCAGCCCATCCTGCGGCGCCTGGGGTGGTGTCCCAAGAGCTGGGCCAGGACTACCTTAATACAAGTGTTCTCTGGCGCTGTGTCCCCCAGAGCGTCCTGGGAGCTCGGGGCACTGTAGGAGGGAGCATGCATCTCTCTGGGATGGGAGACGGCAAAGCACCCGCTCTGCCAGCATTTGAAAATCTCTCTGCCGCTCTAGGAGGTTTGAGATGGACCGAGAGCCCCTCAACGCTCGCTACTGCGGGGAGTGCGGCAAGCTGCACCCTGCCGAGGACGGGGACCTCTGGGCCGAGTCGAGCATGCTGGGGCTGAAAATCACCTACTTCGCCCTGATGGATGGGAAAGTTTATGACATCACAGGTAGGGGGTTCTCTGGGGCCAAGACCTGCTGGCTGACATAGTGCCCAGAGACCAGCCAGTGACCCTGACCTGCTCCCAGTGGGTCAGGGGCCAGCACTCCTCCCTTTGGGATCCTGGCCCCACTGAAGAGGCACCAGCCTGTGGGTGCAATAGCCGCCTGGCATCGCTGCTCCTGCACGACCTGCGGCCGGGAGGCGTGATGGCTGGGGCTGCTTCCTGCGCTGGGCTAATGTGGCCTTGTTCCACCAGCTGACAGTGTGTTGTGTCCTGTCTGTCTCTGCAGAGTGGGCTGGCTGCCAGGGGGTTAGAATCCCTCCCGACACCCATCGCGTCCGGTGTCACATATCGTTTGGGTCAAGGAGCTCTGGCGCGGGCAGGCGACAGAGGTTGGTACTGGATGTCCTTCTGGTTCCTTTGTCCTTCAAAAAAAGAGCTAGAGAAGTTGCTGGCCCTACCCTCCAGGAATGGCCATCATCCAGGATGGACAGGGATGGTGTTCCTAGGCTCTGTGTGCCAGAAGCTGGGAATGGGCGACAGGGGAGGGATCACTTGGTGATTCCCTGTTCTGTTCATTCCCTCTGGAGCACCTGGCGTTGGCCGCTGCCTGAGGACAGGACACTGGGCTAGATGGACCTCTGGTCTGACCCAGTGTGGCTATTTTTATGCTCCTGCCTTGGTCTGAGCAGTTGGGGATGTGTCAGATATTAGATCTTGAGCACTTCATGGTTAGCCACAGCTCCCCTAGAGTTCCCTCTGGGATCCCCCTTCCCCTGCCCCCATCAGAGGGCTGCAGGGAGGGGCAATCAGTCAGCGTGGGCTGGGAGTCTTTTTACTGACATGAGGTGACCCCATCTAAGCTCTCTCTTTTCTTACCTTGCTACTGCTGGGCCCTGAAGCAGTGCCCCTTGTGGCAGAGTACTGCACTGCTGTGGGAGTGCGTTAAGCTGCTTTAAACCATGTGGACCGAGGACGGGTTACTCTGTGCAAACACAAATCCCCCGTCCTGGGGCTGTTGGGGGAACATCCCTTCCCACCCCCACGTCCTTGCAGATGTGCTTTAAAATGTCGCTGGCCAGCGAGGCAGCTCATGCCCAGCACCTGGGACTGGCCGTTACCGGGCATTCTGTCAATTTGTCCCGTGTGTCCAGCTGCCTAGGATCACAGACGCCTGCTGATCCCAGAGACCCATTGCTGAAGTCAGGTCTCTGTGCCCCGGGCAGGATCTGGCCCCTTAGCAAGCTTCGCAGTGTGAGGGTTTTCCTTGGTGAGGAAACCAGGACTCGAGTGACCCGAGAACCTGTAACACAGCTGAGAATAGAACCCTGCAAACCCACTTAATCCCCTACTGTCTCCCTGAGGTGGGGACAGGACCCAGGAGTTCTGACTGCCAGCCGTGTGCTCTAACCACTAGCTCATGCAACCCTCTCTCAGCTGGCTATCGAACCCAGTAGTCCTGACTGCCCGCTTTAACCACTAGACCCCATTATTCTGACTGACACCCACCAGCTACATGTGTACGTGCTGTGTCTATAAGCCCTTGTTCTCCCCCAGAACCACCTCTCAAGGCAGCCCTGCCTCAGCTGCAGACCTGCAGGACTTCTTCAACCGCATATTTCAGGGGACCCCAGGGCAGATGCCCAATGGGGGTTTCTTCAGCCCACCCTGCTCCCCGCAGTCAGCAGCTTCAGCCCCCAAGACAGAGAGTACAGCCTCAAAAGGGGACTCGAAGCCGAAACGGCGGAAGAAAGTGCGCCGCCCCTTCCAGCGCTGAGGATGGGCGTGTCCAGCGCGGGAGAGTCGCTTTGGGCTTGGCCTGGCAGGAGACCACAAGCGCTAACAGGGAATGAAGATCCATCCTGTGTATGTTTCAGCAGGCAGCTGGCGTGTCCCAGGCTCTAAGTCAGGCACTACAAGGGCTCTTTACAAGAAAAAGAATCTGTGTTTTTTCTTTAGCTGTTTAAAAGTCAACCAGGCATTTGGGGAGTTTCTGGTTGAAGCCGTTAACTTCTAGTGTGAAGACTCAGACCCAGTGATACCAAAGAACTCCAGCGGGGGTGCCCTGCAGGGATCCTGGAGACATCAGCCCTGTGTGGGTGGAAGGAGGGTCTCTGGTTGGGGGGGGCGGGCACACGCTGGACAGAGCCATGGAATCTCTTCAGGGTTACTTGAAAAATCAGGGGATGTTCTATTTCCAGCAAGGCCACAGTTGGGATCCATTGGGAGGCAGCCATGACCCTTCCATCCACCGGCTTCCCTTTCTCATTCACGGCTCCTTTTCATCCGCCCGCCCATTGAAGTCTGCGTCTGGCAGCCCGTAACTAGTCGAACACAGCAGCTGAGCAGGATCCCTTACAGCTGCGTCATGATTTGGCCTAAAGCTTCTGCACCAGATCGGATTGTTGATGCACCTTCTCCCTCCCCCTCCCCCCTTTCCCCGCAGATTGTCACCCTAGAAGACCCGAGCCAAGTGTTAAACCCTGGTGCTGAAGGGCAGCTTGTTCGCTTCACAGCTGACTGGAGAACTCTCCTGGGGAGCAGCCTGGCTTGGGCCAGGATGCTGGGTCCTTTGTCTAGCACTTGCAGGGTGTTCTCCATTCCACCTCCTGCTGGCCGTGCTCTCAGCGGCGCGAGAAGGGAAGCCTGTTGCATCACCGAGGAAAGGAGGCCTGGGCAGGTGCTGCTTGAGGTGTAACTGGTTCCCTTCCCTCTGGGCATGTAGCACATAATGCCCCCCAGTTTGATGCTTATTGCATCCCCCCTGGGACTCCTGACCCTGCTTTCCAGCCTGAGCTCAAGGGCACCATTTTGGGTGTGTGTGAGGAGGGGAGGGGGCAGCAGCCTCACATACTAGGCCAGGGCTTGCTTTTCTTCCTACTCCCCTGCCTGTCAGGGAGCGAAGGGAAAGTACTTGGATTGCGTGAATTGCACCTCGGCTCCCTCCCTGCACCAGCCAGGAATGAGAGGTCCGCACAGACTTTAAGCACTTTCTCCTTGCGCCCTGATGGGGGAACAGGGAGAAAAGCAAGCACCGCTGTCCTGACATGGCCCCCTTGCCTGAGCTGTGAAATGCTTTCCTGGCAGAGGGGCCCCACCGTAGTCCTGAGAATAGGCAGAAGGGTTCCTCAGTGGGTTTTCTGGGAGAGCCGTTGTGAGGTGCTGCTATCGAGTCTCCTGAGCTGCGCCGCTCATTTACCGTTCCAGGGGCTGCTGGCCGGCACCAGCTGCTCACATACCTGGGATCAGACTTTCCAAAGAAGCAAGGCTGAGTCTGAACCTGGTCTGGTTCTGCTGGGCCATGCAAGCTCTTGTGCTCCCAGCAATTAATCAGATGGATCTGTAACCATCTAGCCTCTTCCTGAAGAAGACAAAAAGTCCTGGGGCACCTTATAGACTGACATGTACGGGAACATAGGCTTTCGTGGGCAAAGACCCACTTCGTCAGATGCATGTAGTGGAAATTCCAGAGGCAGGTATAAATATCCAGACATAAGAAAAGAGTACCAATCAAGAGTAAGGCTAGAGCTAACGAGGTCAATTCAGTCAGGGAGGATGAGACCCACTTCTAGCAGCTGATGTGGTGGTGTGAACACCAAGAGAGGAGAAACTGCTTTGGTAGGTGGCTAGCCAGTTACAGTCTTTCTTTAATCCTAAATTGATGGTGTCCAATTTGCAGATGAACTGTAGCTCAGCAGTTTCTCTTGGAAGTCTGTTCTTGAAGTTTTTTTGTTGCAGGATGGCTGCCTTTAAATCTGCTACTGTGTGTCCAGGGAGATTGAAGTGTTCGACAGGATTTTGTATATTACCATTCCAGCAGTGCTCCTCTGCTATATACATCGGCCAAACTGGACAGTCTCTACATAAAAGAATAAACAGACACAAATCAGATATCCTCCCTGACTGAGTTGACCTCGTTAGCTCTAGCCTTACTCTTGATTGGTACTCTTTTCTTATGCCTGTATCTTTATACCTGCCTCTGGAATTTCCACTACATGCATCTGACGAAGTGGGTCTTTGCCCACGAAAGCTTATGCTCCAATACATCTGTTAGTCTATAAGGTGCAACAAGACTTGTCATTTCTGTAGATTTAGACTAACATGACTACCCCTCTGATACTCTTCCTGAAGGATTATTCTTGGGGTTTTTTTTACAGCAGATTCCTCTTTGTACATAGCTCTGTTGACTCCCACGTGCGATAAATATACCTGAGCGTAGAGGGGGGAGTGTGCTCCTCTTCTCCCAGGGCCGTGTCAGTCATTTCCATGTATTAAGCCTAAGCTTTCCAGTAGGCACGTGCTGTAACCTCCTTAGTTTTGCTCTTCCAGTTGCGCTCACGCAGCCAGCTCAGAGCTGCTGAATTCCTTTGACCCCAGCTAGGGTAAAGCTGTGTTAAAGTTATTCCAGGAAATAAGACTTGTTTGTTTTGTGAGATGGTTTGTCATTCTGCAGCTGAATTTCCAAAACAAATTGGATTTAGGGTAGGGCCTACACAAACAATGGGGTGGGTGTGGGCAGAAAGTTCTGCTTTAGGATTAAACTGGTGAGTGTATATGGAAAATGTACCCATCCCCTTGCAAAATAAACCCCGGGAGGATGACACAAGTGTTCTCTTCACTCCCAGAATGTGTACAGACCCCTCCCTGGTGCAGGTGTGTATAAGAGGGACATAACAAACAGGAGGTGTGGCCCCTGCTAATGCTGGATTTCTGGCTAGGGGAAGAAAAGCAGGTAGTATGCGAGGGTTCATCCTCCTTGGTCAGAATTGGCTCAGGAATAGGGGACAGTGGGAGCTGAGCTGGGGCTGGACCAGTGCCTGTGAAGTGTTCTGTCCGCTTGGGTATAGTGCTGCTATGTGCTGCCTTTGTTAACAATTGCCTAGGCTGACGTGTGGGGAGGTCAGCTATTTCTTCATCCCCCTCCTTTGGAGACTAATTGCTTTTTCAAAAAGCAAGGCCTCCCAGCTCAGCCTTCCTCTAGGGCTTGGGTGTTTGAGTCCCTTTCCCGCTGGGAGGGGTGTGATGGGGACTCCCTGGCTGGCACCTCCCCCCCCCCCCGT